GATAAGCAACTTGCTTAAAAAAAAAAAAAAAAATAAAAAAAATAATAATTAATTCATAATTAATTGATCAGTAGAGAAAACAAAAAAATAGATTACATAAAAACTAAATTAATTACTTCAGTTGGCAAATGTATTTTAATTATATCGTTTTATATTCATTTTATATTTCCTTATTATATACGGAAAAAAGCTGTTTTTACTCATCATTCGGTATAGTCTTCAAAAAAGAAGTCTAAAGAATGGCAACCTATGACTGCCCATATTTCTAAGCAAACTGAGGGAAAAAAACAATCCCAAATTGCGTATAATAGGTGGACATGGCAACATATGGTTAAACAGAAAGAATACCAATCATGATTCGGTATGCAAATAAACACAAGAACAAAAAAAAACGAATTGCAATTTGCCAGTCAATCTGTCAGTTAGATTTTCACACTTTGATCTTAAATTGAAGTAATTGCTTAAAAAGTATAATGTTTATTTTTTTTTAAATGGCAGTTAAGGCTGATATTATTATCAAAACAAATTTTGAACTCAAAGAAACCTGTCAAGGTCATTCCCTCTTCATTTTACTATGAAAAATGATTCATTACTGTAATGTGAAAAATGATGTATTTTTAAAATGCTTACATCATAGTAGCAGTAGTCTTTGGTTTAGAAAAAATGTAAAGGCAACCATTCTTATAAAGACCTACCATGACTAATCAGCCTTCCTGGCTGGCTTACAAACTGATGTGATGACTCATCATGACTAAACAGTTTTGTGTCACAATACAAAGTTTTGACACTCCTAAAATAAGTTTCATTTGCTTTGTACCAAAATATGCATTCTAATTTTTTCCTTTCAATTCTGGAGTAAAATGTGACATGTTTTCATATACATTAACCTGTTCATGCTGCCTTGCGAGCACTGTCTTCATATTAACCAAGGCGTAGGCAAACACGCAAAAACACAATGTGACGGTGCAAAAAGAGATGCTAAAAAACTCAAAAGACTGTTGAAGGAATGAAAGCACAATGGTGAAGCGTCATAATAACTCAACATGCTGCAGAACAAACCGCCATCAGCTACTCTACAAAACTTGAAATAAATGTCTGTATAATCTATAACGTCACTAAAGACACTATGAGTGGAATATATACAAGCTATTATTATCCAAGGATGCAATATGCCTTAAGACGTTACAAATGTTCACCGTGAACACATTTAGGCTTGTTTGTATTTGTATACTGTTCGTGTTTTGTATGTGTCACACACTTACTCGTTGTCGTCAACCCACGTTCTTGGAGTAGAAGACAATGTACCGCAACCAAGGGAATAGACATATGAATGCTTAACGTTTTAAACGAGATATACTTATTTTCAACATCTATCAATATGGTCATTTAGATTTGTGCTAACAATTAACAAAAATGTGAAGTTTTACTGTAATGGTGCAATATGCATTAGATTCCAGTAGAGAAATATATATTTCCATATCAATGTTCAGGTTACAAAGTTGTTGTCTTCTCAATGACACAGCAGATATATGCTACTGTATGCTTTAAGAATATGCTCATCACCCCTTTTAAAACAAAGCTATTGCTATAGCACATAAGCAGAAGTTCATGTGTACTTGATCCCAGATGAAGCCGTCCTCACTGGTTTGGTTTTTCTGCTGATGTAGGAACTATTTTCTATAAGTACACTGTTCAAAAGCAAGATTGTAATCAAAACTAAGCAGAAACCTAATGACAGCAGATGTATTACAAGTTTAGATGTAGTAAAGATTATCCAGCAATGTTATATTTCCGGGTGTATCCAAAATACATACTCTGTGTAGATGTAATGTACTCACCCTCAGACCATCTGAGATTTAGATACGTTTGTTTCTTTGTCAGAACAGATTTTGAGAACAGAATGGATCCTCTGCAGTGAATGGGTGCCGTCAGAATGATAGTCCAAACAGCTGATAAAAACATCACAATAATCCACAAGTAATGTAAGTAATCCACAAGCTGCATGTTTGTAAGAAACAAATCCATTATTAAGCCGTTTTTAACGTCAAACTGTTGTTTCTGGCTTAAATGCGAGTTCTCTATTCATAATATTGCTTTAAAAAGTCATCTTGTGTGAATCAGGAGAGGAATATGCACAGATCAAGCACCGTTTACAAGCCAAACAGTCCAAAACAAGTATGTGGATTTTGGTGTGAGAGGATAACATAGGATGGACTTTTTTACTGGAGGAAGCATTTTTATGGCTTATGAACTTGTATTTTGGCCAGAAGTTACGATTTAAAGCGCCTTAACGATGTATTTATTTCTTACGAACATGTAGCTTTCCACTTCACATGACATTAACTGATGGACTGGAGTGGTGTGGATTATTATGATGTTTTTATCAGCTGTTTAGACTCTCATTCTGACGGCACCCATTCACTGCAAAGGACCCACTGATGAGCAAGTGATGGAATGCTACATTTCTTCAAATATGCTCCGATGAAGAAACAAACTCATCTACATCTTGGATGGCCTGGGGGTCAGTAAATATTAATTTTTGGATGAACTGCTCCTTCAATGAAACTGGTAACTAATATAAAGCTAGGGAAAGCAAAATTCACATTGCATTGAGGTCACTTCTTGAAACATGCATCATGATTATGATTTCTTTTTTTAAAACATATAAATGTTATAGGCTTGAATCTTGATAAATGAAAACACCAAGTTTTTTCACCGTTACACTAAACCTAATGGTTAATGAGAGCACATTATATCAGAGAGAGAATATTGTCACATACCTATAATTTATTTCACATGTTAAATATTCTTTACACAATATATTTACTATGGCAGTGAAAGTCTAAAGATTGTTTGAACTTTACTAAATACTGTCCTTTGAATATTTGGTGGTGTATAAAGTGTGATGCGGTCACGTGCTGCGCGCTGCATCACTAACTTAAGTGCAGTGAAATGGACTAGTTGTAATGTTTCTTTGATACATTGCTAAATTATAGTAAACATTTCTGTCATTTATTAACTGTAAGATGTTGGTTATGGTGTGATGTAAAGGTACAAGGTTAAGGGAAAGTGGTATATTGCTTTCACGTCTTAAATTGTGTAAAATATTGTCTTGTAAGCACAGAGGATCTAGTATTGAGCACACTAAGCATTTATCATACACCGAATCTGTGCTTTTGGTCACATTGCTCATGAACAAGCCCCTAAATGCATGTGAAGGTCATTTAAAGACATAAGGAAATGCTGACCCCAATGTTTTGAATGGTAGTGTACCTAAAAAAGAGCAAAAAATTGAATTCAGCAAGTGGAATCCTGAAGACATTTCCTAAATAAATATGGTTATTTCAGTCCAGTTGTGTACTGCAACATGCACAGAAAATGTGCATATATTGCGGATATAATAAGTGTAATACGACAGTATGCCATTCAAATGAGCTCAATAATGGGGCTTGTAGTCGTTTGTGCTGATTAGAAGCAGCTGCTCATCTTTGTTACTAAATTATCATCATTGTACAATCTGTGAAGGTTAATCGTGGAGTCAGGCTATAAAGAGTTCCTAGAAAACTCAAAGCACTGCAGAGGCTTAATGATGTGCATAATACTTGTGTGGGCCAAACAGACTGTTATGTATTCAAATGAAATGCAGTACCATGGTACTTCTGGGCCAATCATCACACTGTTTTTTTAATGTAGAGAGCGGGGGTGTTTGAATTGCATGTACAATGTGAGCTGTGCATTTTAAGTCTTTAACCACTTCATGTATGTTCAAGGCAAATGTGTCACCTTTTTTATACCGTTTCCATGTGTGAAATAAATCTTTTTGTTGCTATGCCTGTTTGATTTGAGTGGATTTTTTTTATTTAAAAATAGCACAAGCAATATACTTCATATTAAACAGGTTTGTTAGCTTTTAAATAATAAACCAATACACAGAATGATCAAAGTTAGGACAAAAAAGTATGCTCTTAAAGGGGTCATATGATGCGATTTCAAATTTTCCTTTCTCTTTGAAGTGATACAAGCTCTTGGTGCATAAAGAAGATCTGTAAAGTTGCAAAGACTAAAGTATCAAATCCAAAGAGATATTCTTTATAAAAGTTAAGAGTCAACCACCTTTTCCTTGTGAAAGCGAAACTACTTACTTTGGCCTTCCAAAAGAGGAAGATATCCGCTTCGTCATGCCTAGAGCTGATCCGTGCTGGTCGCTGAGGAAATACATCAACTTCGTGCTGTG